TAATTAAAAAAATATAAAAAAGAAAAATATAAATAAAAAAAAGAAATGATAAGGAATTGTAGCTCTTGGAACTTAAAAGGTGAAATAGTAGAAATAGACTACAAGGATTTTCCTTTCTTTTTGTTTTTTGGATACTCTGAAATAAGATTTTGAGTTTTTCTTTTTTTTTAGTGGCTGTTATCTGTCGTCTTCTTCTTTGGGCAGTAGCGTTGGGAAACTTTTTTAGTTTTGGGCCTGGTTGGCTGTTTTGGATTACAAATTTTATTTTTATTGTATTTTTCCTCTTCCTGGGGTATTTTGTATTAAGGTAAGAAGAACCTGAAGAAAAGAAGTAAAATCCTGAAATTTGAATTACAAAGGGTTTCTTCTTCTTTATTTATTCTCTCCTCTTTTGGGGTTTCTCTCCCCCCCTTTTTTTCCTCCTTTTGTGGGGATTCATATTTGGATTACAAATCAGATTGGAATTATAATGACAAATACTTGGTGGATTACAAATACAAAGATATTTTAAGATGAAGAAAATAACATCAACACTGTCTTTAGCATCCTCCTCTATAACTTCTAGCCCTGCTGGGCAGAAAACACTAGATAATATGGCACAACAAGAGAAGACTAATACTATGCAATTAGAATTAAAGATGATACAAGCTCTCCATGAAGATTTAAAGGAAAGAATAGGTAAACTAGATGGGAGAATGGAGAAAGTAGAAGGGGAATTAAAAGACTTTAAAGGGATTATGGAGAAAAATGAACCATGAATACAAAAAGTAGAAAAAGCTGAATCAACAGAGAAGAAAGTGGGAGAGCTGGATTATAGATTTACAGTGTCTCGAAATGGACAGGGCAGAATATTATTTAAGATTTCAGAATATGGAAGAAGAGAAAGGGGAAAAATTAGCAGAGATAATGGCAGAGTTGTTGGCGGAAGTGATGGAGGAAACTAAGGGAAGAGTTCTGAATGAGATTGATGAGATATTTAGAGTGCACACTAGATATGCAATGAGAAATAATTTACCTAGAGAGGTGCATGTTAGATTTACCAAGAAAGCAATAAAAACAGAGATTTTGGAGAAAGTAAGGAACAATCCAATGAAGTACAAGGTTAGAGAAATAGTAGTGTTAAAACAAATACTGAGAAGTGTTAGAGATTTGAGAAGAGATTATCTGTTTTTGACAAAATGTTTAATCAAAAAAGGAGTGAATTTTAGATGGCTGATACCTGAGGGAATATTGGTGACCTGGCAGGACCAAAGACACAGACTAGATTCAATAGAGAAAGCAGAACAATTTTATGATCAATATTTGGGGCTGCAATAGGAGGAGAGATTGAGAGAGGAGAGAGAAGATAGATACCAGAAAGACCTTATGGAAGAGAGAGACAAGAAAGAGATTGCTGGAGCCAACGTCGCAACGTTACATCGTGTGGACTCGACAGTCCAAATCCACCAATGACACTTTTGCTCCTGGATGGTCCGGCAGGATCTAAACCGTCCCGAAGAGATGGTGACTGGGAAGAAAAGACCTTGCTGGTCGCAGGGACATCACAAAGTCCCTGATCGACCCAAGGGAAGCGCTTCCAACCAGTGGCAAACAGGCAGCCCCCCAGGCTGACATAGTTGGAGATGGCTCCAGAAAGAAAGAAAAGTGAAAGTGTTCCATCTGGTGAGGGTTTTTTTCTTTTCTTTTAGAAGATTGCCCTAAGAAACTTTTCTTAAACTAAATTAGTCCTTTAAGTAAGAACAAACTGGCGTATTTAATCCCTAATGGACTGCCTTAGAAAGTTTTTTGCTCTTGCCTGTAACAATGTTTTGTGGATTGAAGTGATTGCAACGTTTCCTGTTTCTCCGTTTGAGGTGAAGAGATTGATATTTTTTCCCCTATTTCTTTTTACTACTCTAACTTTTTTGGCTTAAATTAAAACTTTTTTTACTTTAATAAACTTCTCCTTCTACTTGTTATAATATCATATTAAAGATACTTAAGGAAAAAGTCTTTAAAATAGTTGAATCTGCCACTTGGAAGCCTAAGTCTGAAGTTTTTTTTCTTTTGCTGTTGTAACAATGTATCCTTTGTTCACTATTTGACTACACTGACTTTGCAACAGAAGGAGCTGAGGTGGCGCAGTGGTTAGGGTGCACTACTGCAAGCCACTTCAGCTGACTGCTATCTACAGTTCAGCAGTTCAAATCTCACTCAGGGTTG